AGCAGTTCACTGACACCCCTGCAGACTCCGTGAGGGTTCATTGCATCGCTGTTATCCGCCTCCAGTTGAGACAGTGATCAAAAATAAATTTGGGGATGACTCTCCTCATTGGGCCCCAGCTCGGCAACTGCATAGAAACGCGGCTTTGCTGAGGTGATGGATTTCCAGGGTCCGTCTGCATGGAAAATCAGTGAAGCTCCCCAAAGGACCCGTGTCCATCCCTCCCATGGGCTGAGCCTCTGATGGCCCCCATGAAGCACCCCAAAACAGCCCCTCCGTGGGTCTGTGCTGCCCCAAATCCCTCCTCCCACACCACAGCAGGGTCTCTCCAAGCCATGGATGTCCCCAGGGTGACCGCAGCATCTCCACAGGGCCCTGCTCTCTGAGCTTGAATTTTTGGGACAGTCCCTGGGCATCTCTGGGGCGAGGAGCAGCCCCACGGGAGCCCCCATTGAGTCCTGTATTTGTTTCAATAGTTTGGCCAATATACACGGAGACAACAGCTCTAAAAACCCACTGCAATCACATGAGGATCCCTGGTTCAAGCCAACAGCAATAGCTCTCAAACCAACACCTTCCACGCAGTGAAAAATAAACCAAACGCTCTCTGCATAGCAAAACAACAGCACCCAGCTGGACAGGGCAATAACCACCCGAAACAAACCCAGATTTGCTCTGCGCTTCCCCCCCTCAGCAAAGGTCCCACCCAGGGCAACACAAAACTGTCTGTCCCGCCACCAAACTGGATTAAATCCCAGATCAAATGCCTGCATCTTCCTGGTACTGACATTTGAATCCTCTCCTCCCTCTCTGTGATCGGCCACCAACCTGCAGGCAGGGGCAGAGAGGGCTCAGCTTTTGCCACTGCGCTGGAGGACGAGATGCTCCCGCTGGGGAGATGGCTCTGGTCCGATCACGGCCATCGGAGACTGCGCTGTGTGGGAGCAAGGATAAAAACCAGATGCGAGCGATGGAGCAAACAGGAGGAGGCAGCTCGGACACCTCAGGGAAGGAGCCTGAGCACGGGGCTCAACATCTGCATGTGCCGACGGTGTCCAGGGCTACCCCAGCCCGGCGTCATCCAGGTCCCAGGTGATGCTGTGGTACCCCCAGCAGAGATGCGCACAGAGGGCAAGGCCGGCCCTGGTTCTTCACAAGCCACAACAAAAGAATAAAAGAAAAGAAAATGAACCCAAAAAAAGCAGAATGAGGCGGCACAGCCCAAACGCCAGCGCTCCGAGGAGGCGGCACCACGGGTCCAACGTGTCAAGCGACAGCAGTCGCTGCGGGGTTTTATTTCTCAGCTTTCAGGGGAGCTGATGGAATGGAGCGGACCCAACCTCCCCCTTCAGAGTCCGTTTGTGTCTATCGCTGTCACGGATGCCGGCGTGGAGGAGCGCGAGGTGGTGGCCGAAGTCTTCTCGAGGGCCGGGCTGGCCACGCCGTCCAGGCTCTTGGTGGCCGCGGACCGGCCCGTGGGCAGCGCCAGGGGCTTGCTCTGGCCGTGCAGGCCCTGCCCGCAGATGCGGTGGTGCCGCTCCCAGTCCTTGTGTTGGCAGAAGGAGCCGCAGTAGCGGGCGATGTTGCAGCCGCTGCAGGGCT